TAGATGTGAAAAGCTTTTAGGATGACAGATTTTAACACAACAGTAAGAGAAACTAGATTGCTTTGCAGGGGGAGGGGGTGGCTGTTTGTTACCTACTGAGGTTGTGAGAGAAAATAGCCTTTTCATACTTTAGCATGAGAAACCAAGACTGGAAATAATATGCCAATTCCATTTTGCAGGCTTTACAATTACAAAGGGGGAGAGGACGACGTGAAAAAGGGACAGTTTGGGGACATAAAGGGGGAAAAGACATTCACACTAAACATACTCAAATTTGCTTGAATGTTAGAGAAGATGCCGATGCCACTTCTCATTTTCTTTTTCAAAAAATTGTGTGTGTGTGTGTGTGTGTGTGTGTGTGTACACACATAGCTGCATGTATGTATTATACTAATTTAGATTTAAGGAACTTATTAAAAAGTTTATGTATCAACATTTTTCTTAGAATTTGCGATAGTTAATTCTGTAATTCTGGAAAAACTTTGAACATTAATGACTGAATAAAAATAAAACTGGTTCTACCCTTAGAATGGCACATTTATTTACACTGTAAAGGCAAGGACTCTCTAACATGTTACACATAAAAAAAAAAAAACCTCACATTTTCTTCAGTTTGCTATAAGTCCCAAGTTGACATGTACCACTGTTTACCAACGATAGCTACCACTTCTGTGTAATAAAAGAGGGAAAGACAAAGGTGAGTATTAACAAGTCACAGGGATAATTTTTCCCCCAAGGCAGGGTTTCTCTACGTAACCTTGGCTGTCCTGGAACTCACTCTGTAGACCAGGCTGGCCTCGAACTCACAGAAATCTGTCTGCCTCTGCCTCCTTGAGTGCTGGGATTAAAGGTGTGCAACCACCATTGCCTGGCTGACAATATTTTTAATATTTGAGTAACTGTCAGTTTTATTGCAATCTCTTCTTTTAGAAAATGTATGTATCGTACTATGCTTAGACAAAACAAATCAGCTCAACTTTGTGACTGGTGATTAATTTCTTGTTAAAAAGTCTGAATTTTAAGTTTTGTTGAAATGATAAATAGTATGTCTGCCATCTAGCTATCTGTATGTTATGCTCTCTAGATACAATACGGACTATAAAACATAGCAACTGAAATAAAAAATGCAGTTCAACAGAAAATAATTTCTAAAGTATCGAAGGAAGGTATGGGGCCCAACACTTAGATAGATATCCGTAAGTTGGAAATCAACCAGAAGTCTAGAGTATGTAAATGCATACAATGCAAGCATGAAGATGCCACCCATAGCCTAGACCTGTCAATATAAGATTCTATAAACTACAGAAGGCCAGAAAGCTTAATGGTGTTCAACTTTACACAGACTACTAAAACTGCCCAACATAAAAACTGAAGGAATATGTGCTGATTGGTTTTTGTCAATTTGATACCAACTAGAGTCCCTGAGGGGAGGGAATCTAGATCGAGGACCTGCCTCCATCAGATTGGCTATAGGCAGGCCTATGGTGTTTTCATAGTGATTGATGTGGGTGGTGACATCCCTGGGCAGGGGATCCTGGGTTGTATAAAAAAAGCATACTGAGCAAGCCATGGAGAGCAAGCCAATAAGCGATGTTCCTCCATGGTCTCTGCTTTAGTTCCTTACTCCTGGTTCCTGCCTGGAGTTCCTGTTCTGTAAGATGTAGCTGCTTTTGGTTGTGGTTACCATGGCAAAAGAAAGCAAACTAATAGAGAAATGGTACCAGGACCACAGGGTACTGCTGTGACAGACCTGACCATGTTATTTTTGCTAGAATTGTGGTAGCATTTGAAACTCTAAGCTGGAAAAACTACTGAATACTCACAGCTTAAAAGGAACCCGAGTTCAATGTATGGGGGATGGGGGGAGGGAGGAACAGGGTGCATTTTCACATCATTTGATTTCTTATAAGTTTTTCAATTTTTAAAACTGCTTATAAAAATCAGTAATAACATGTAACTTTTTTGTTTTTAGTTCTCTAAGCATTGCCTATTAACATTCTCTTAAATGTCTATATTCATGTTATAGTTTTTCATATTCTTAAGATCAGAGGCCATGGTATTTCTTCCTTCTGAGCGTAATCACAGCATTCAGAAACTGAACTCCATTGATGGGGAGACTAACCCTGTCCCTTTCCCCATACCGTTGGCACTTTGCTTTATAGACTGTAGCCTACAATGCCTGAGATACTTTAAAGGAGAGCGTGCTGCGGAAGTGAAGGTGTATGACTAGTGACTAGGTCACAGGAGGCACTTTGCACTCTACTCTTGGATTCCTTACTTGGAGGAAAGTTAGCTGCCAGGCTATGAGTAGACACCCATATGGCAAAGCCTCCTGCCAAAAGTTATGTGAGTGAGCCATCTTAGAAGTGTGTCTTCCAACAAGTGAAGCCTTCAGCCTGCAACCCTTGCCTACTCCTGATTTCAACACATGAAAAATCGTGAGCCACAACCATCCAGCTAAGTCACTCCTGAGCTTCTGACACACAGAAATTGAGAAAATAACTCGTTTTTATGCTGTTAAGTTTTTAGTAAGTTTAGGGTAACTAGTTATATGACAGAGATTATAAAAGATATGTAACTACTGTGGTGAACAAGAGGTAAAACCTAGTTATTAAATTAAATTAGGCACACTCTTTCAACTCTAAGTAGAATACTGTTATCTAATGATAGAACCTTGTTGTGATCTAAACAGAGTTTTCACTAGAAGAAATAATAATGGCTAAGAAATACCTCAAAAGTACTTGTCATCCTTGGCAATTAGGGAAATGTAAATTAAAATTACTTTGAGATTTCATCTTCCCCAGTCAGAACGGCTAAGATCAACAAAAGTTGTAGAGAAAGGAGAACCCATTCACTGTTGACAGGAATTGGTACAGCCATTCCAGAAACTAGCATGGAGAATCCTCAAAGAACTAAAAATAAACCTACCATAAGATCTGCTATACTACTCCTTGGCACATACCCAAAGGACCTAACATCACAGATACTTGCTCAGGTATATTCATAGCCACCCTATTCACAAAAGCCAGAAAACGGAAACAACCTAAATAACCTTCAACAAAAGCATGGTACATATACACTACGGAATACTGTTTATCTGTAAGACAAATGAAATCATGAAAATCTCAAGTAAATGAAATGACCTAGAAAAGATTATATATACTGAGTAAGATAACACATACCCAGAAAGACAATGTGTTCCTGCTCATCTTTGGCTCCTAGCTCCAAAACCTGAGAAGGGTGTATACAACATGGAGTAACCACAGGAACCAGAAAGTACAAAGGAGTCATTTTGTGTCAGGGAGGCAGTGGGTAGCAGAATGCAGGCGATATGAAATGGCAAGGAGTAACAGGGAGCGGGGCCCCAACTGGGACGAAGGGAGCTGGTCAATACAGAGGGAGGAGGAACAGGAACAAATACCACTAAGATTGTTTGAGAAAGCATCAAGGAATCGTAACATCTACCTAAAATTATACACAGTACATAAGTATATAAGCATACACACATACATGTTATTCATACATACTAAAGGAAGTTAAGCCATTTGGGCTGACAACGCTCCCCTCAAGAACCACACACTAACAAAACCCCCAGAACCAGCTATAAGAAGCCCTACTTTTGAAAGGCTGGTCAGGACAGTTCAAGTGACTCCCCAAACAATATAGATGAAGCCCTCGGTTCTCTCTCAGGAGTTGAAGGTAGGTTGGAGACACATCACACTTAGGACTCAGGACCTGAATGATTAAAGCTGGATCTGACCTGAAAGTCTCTTTCCTGTGGTCTTACTTCCCTGGTTCTAGAATATACAAGATTCCAAGGGAGGAAGCAATTAAACAGCTGTAATACCCATGAACCATGACAATTACCAGAATGGCAAGATGCACATAGAGGTGTAATAATGGTACTCACATGTCAGTGACAACCAACAGTTGTATAATAGGACTTAGTCCTCTCAACAGGAGGGAAAGCATGCCTGGTACTGGAAACCTGGCCAGCTTCCTGGGGCTAATGAGGTCATGCACCTTAGAAAAGAATCCACTATCACTACTTCCTCGGACCAGAATAGTTCCTTACTACATTCTAAATCTTATCCTTATACCCACAGATAAGTGTAGGTACCATCGCAAATCAAAGAAGCTTCTCTCTACAGCACATGGAAACCATCACAGCAAATCACAACATAATGGGGAGCCCAGGCCTGATGGATACCTCCACATCACTGTTACTGCATCTATGGAGAACATAATGGAAGAGGGGGTGGAAAAATTGTAAAAACCAGAATAGCAGGGAGTGAGCTGTGAAACAACTCTTCTAGAAATGGCTGCACAAATAAGATCAGAATAATGGCAGTATCAATGTACATCTTAACTTTAGAAGGAAACTGTGTAGGGTCCCACCCCTAGACAAAGAACTAGAGGTAACTATATGACTGATGAGAGAGGGATCACTAGCCTCTAAGCTCTGTTCCTGGTTGTTCAACTCAGAATGGTAAGCTCTGAAACCATATACACACAAAAAATAAAAATAGGTTCAGCATGTTGTGTATGTATGTACATAAACATACATATGTGTATGTATATACATATTATATGTATACATATATATAGTGTATAATAGTAATCAAGGAAGATAGAAGCTAGCAACTTGAGAAAGGGGGCTCATGAGAGTGGTTAAAGGGAGGACAGCTAAGAGGAACTGAAGGGGGGAAAAGGAGGGCAAAGTGATGTAATTCATTTCACTTAGAAACACTTTGAAAAAATTATGAATATAAAAAAAGAATAGATATCTTGTTTATGTATTCAGTGTTCATTAGCCCTTTGAATTGAGATACATAAGAGAAATTTAAAATACAGCCTAATTTTATTTCTATTAAATGGTTATAGCAAAAGAAAATGAAATTCATGAGCTATTCAAAGAATTAAAATATGGATATCACATATGCCTCTTATATTAACAAGGATAATGACAATAAATAACTGAATTTATGTTTACTCCTTACCCAAAGCTTATTTCTTTGGGCCTTTTCCTTGGTCTGTCCACAGATACAGTATAGTTGGTGCAGTATTAATTCTTTGGAAATAAGCTAGCCAAACAAAGGAAGTTGATGAAAAAAGTAGAAAACGATTTAAATCTAGGATCATTTGTCTTACCATCTACCTCAGTTTAAAGTTTTATTGCTTTGTTAAAACTTGCACTTCATTAAATGCTCATGATACGAAGGGATGGGGAATCACTAGGGAGCCTGGAGAGATGGCTCAGCAGAGTGCGCATGTGCAATCACAAGGTCTGGAGGTCTGATGCTAGGACTCAAGTAACAAGCAGAGTGCTATGTCCACCTGCAACCCTAACAGCAAGGGAGGTGGAAGTAGGCCCACTGGGTCTTTCTGGCTTCCAGTCTAGTAGAAAGTGTAAGCCCCAGATTCAGGGAAAGACTCCTGTCTCTGGAGTTGGGGAGATGGTTCAGTGGTTAAGATCATTTGTTGCTCTTTCAGAGGACCCAAGTTTGATACCCAGAACCTACATAGTGGTTCACAACCATCCTTAACTCCAGCTCAGGGGATCCGATGATCTCTTCTGACTTCCATGGGTGCCAGACATGCATGTGGTATATATGAAGGCATGCAGGCAAAACATTCACACACATGAAACACACAACCTTAATGGTGGCAGAGGGTAACAGGGAAGGATACCTAGTATTCTCTTCTAGCTGTTGTGTGTGTGTAATAGGCACATGTATCCATACACACAAAGAGCATACTAACATGCAGACATACACAAATCTTTAAAAAAAACACTAGGAAATATGAAGCTTAAGCTTTATTTTAAATATAAGTAATTCTATTTAGGAGGATATGTCATATTTACAGATACAGAACTTTGTTTAGAATTTAGTGGTAAGGGACTGGAGAGAAATGGCTCATCAGTAAATAGTATGTACTACTCTTACCAAACCTGAGTTTGGTTCCTAGCACCTACTTCATATAGCTCACAACTGTAACTCCAGAGCAAGGAGATCCATGGGTATCTACATACATGTGCATATATCCACATACAGATACCCACACAAACATAATTAAAAATAATAAAATAGAGGCTAGAGAGAGATATCTCAGTGGTTAAGAGCACTACTGCTTTTACAGTGAACCTGGGTTTAGTTCCCAGCACCCAAAAGGTGGCTCACAACAATCTGTAATTAGTTTCAAGAGATCTGATATCTCTTCTGACCTCTAAAGGCACTGCACGGATATGGTGCACATATACATACACATAAAATTAATTAATTTTTTTTCTTAAAAATTTCAGGGGCAGGTCACTGCCTAAGAAAGATGAAACAAAGAAGATCTATTGTATATCAGCATTTAATGTTGGTTTCTGCATAAGCAAGTTAGGAAAAAACCAACTATCTACTTTCTTCCCATGGTCTACCCACTCAAATTGTTAGAGCACATAGCCTAACTAACTTAAGAATGTCTGTGTAGCCTAACTAACTTAAGAATGAGTCTGACAGTACTTCCTACCTTTGACTGCTTATTTCTCAGTGTTCCTAGTTTCATTTTATCATGTGGTTCATCAAGAGTCAAATTAGTCTTCCTTCTTTCACTGTCTTCAAGCAAAGGTACATAGCCATAACTGTTATCTGCAAGAAAAAACAGTTGTACATCAGTAGAAAGCCCTGGAAAGGTAATTATAATAAAAATGAGACCAGGCATAGTGGCACATGCCTTTAATCCCAGTCCTAGGAAGGCAGAGGCAGGTGGATCTCTGTGAGTTTGAGGCCAGCCTGGTCTACAAAGTGAGTTCCAGGACAATCAGAGCTACACAGTGAGACCTTGTCTCAAAAAACCTACAACCAAGCAACAACAATGAAAAACCAACTAACCAACCAACCAAAAATAATCAAACAAAAACAAATCTCAATAATTTTTAAAAGAATAAATTATAAGCTCTAGTTTTATAATATTCAATGTTTGTGTAATATTTACCTTGGCAAGTTGCCCATTTAGAGTTTTTCCTTCCCACTAAACACTTATTTTCCCACGAGTCAATGGTAAAATATACAGAATTCAGAAGAGTAGGATTAATTATCAACAGTTACACTTTTAGGCCTTTCTTTTTTTGAGGAGGTTTATGGTGCCCGAGAAGCACTAGCTAATGTCCCACCATAGCTACACTCCCAAGCCAATTAAACTTTAATACATCAAATACATTATGCATTTCTTGTTTAAGATAATTATACTTGAAAAAAAACTCTTGCTTATAGAAAACTAGAAAATGCAGCTACGACAAAAAGAAGCTGGAGGCTGAAGAGATAGTTCAGTGGTTAAGAGCACTGTCGCTCTTCTAGAGGACATGAGTTTGGTTACTAGAACCCCCATGGTGGCTCATGACCATCTACCAGTTCCAGGAGATCCAACACCCTCTTCTTGGTGCCTTGGTGGGTGCAAGGCACACACACTTGTGATATAGATACATAAACAGGCAAAACAGCCATAAATAAATAAAAAGTTATTAAAATTATTAAAAAACAAAAAAGCTGTCTAATTTTTATCACTTGTGAACTACTCCCATTAACACTGTGGTTTATATTTTGTTTTTCTTTTCTACATATAACTCAAACAATGTTTTCCTATACACATTACATATAGTTTTGTATTGTACTTTCTTTACTTTGCTGAACATGAACATATTCCTGTTGGTAAGTTAACAACTATTCTCACTGCTTTTCTTGGCTATACAGTTGTTCACTGTAACTTACCTTTTGGACATTGTACTTTTTGGATTATTTACTGGCTTATTCAAAGGGCACGTAAAGGGAGAGATGCACAGGGCAAGGAATATGGAAAGGCACAGAGCATCTACAACCTTGCTGGGCACAGTACATGATCAGCTGTCTGGAAGCTCAGATGCTTCTTCTGATTTTTCATCTCTAGAAATCTACTGTGATGACACAGTGTATACACATCTTCTAGCACTTACACAAATTATCTTAGATACTCTGGGGCTTCTATTTTCATCTCAAAGGCACAAACTTTTTAAAAAGCTTTTTGCTATTCGTTGGCAAAGTGCCTTCAAGGAAGTTTTATCAATTAGGGTTTCAGCCTATAGAATTTATGAGTGCCCACTTCCCCATACCCTATAAGTTTCAATTAAATAAACATAATATATAACTGTACTATGTTTCTTGCATCAGAACTAATAAAAAAATAGAAAAACTCAAAATTTATCTTTTCTCTAAAGAGTTTCCAGAAATACATTTTAAAAAGACGAAAGGAAGACAGAAATACCTCGACAAGAATCCCCAAGTAGTAGCTGTGATTTTAGCTTGTCAATAAGAGTTTGTTGAAATGACAGCTGTTCTTGTTGCTCGCGTATTCTTTGTTCATAGGTCTCGGTCTAAAGACAAAGAAACCACAGTTAGCTTGATACTCACGGAGAGACTGTTTCCTATCTATTGATAAACACAGGGGCTGCCTGAATCCCAGGTAACCAAAAAATCTACTCACCAGTTACTGACTGGCTCCAGGGATTTACTTGTGATCATTATCATATCAGTGACTTAAAACAAGTAGAATATAACTTTAAAAAATGATCTTATTTAAAGATTTCAGTCAAGAGTTTTCTTGGTCTTTCAGTAAAGACAAATATAATAATGTGAAATTCAATACTTGTAAATAAGAAAAAAGCATTAATGGTTAAGCAGATGCTGCATTAAAGTTATACTTTAAAAATACATATCAGACTTAAAACAAACTTTTAAGTCTTTAAAATAAACACCAAAATTAATGTTTAGAGTACAAAACCACAAAAGAAGTAGCTAGAAGTAAATATAATAAAAATCAAAGGAATGAATATAAATTCTAAAAGTATGGTAGTCACAAATAGGAACACCAGGGTTAATTTTATTATACAAAAATATTATTTATAGATTTTAAGTGTTATAATCCCCTTATATTTTACCTACCTTGCTATCTTATTATATTGGCAGTGAAAACAACAACGAAAATGACATATGGAATGGAAAATGACATTAGGAATATAGAGATATAGATGTGCCAACCTTCAAGAAAAATCTGAAACTGTTGTATCACAATTACCTAATTAGTGCCTTCTTAAAAGCTATCCTAAGAAAGCATAATATGAAAGTCTTTGCTGTTTTCTACCATTGGAGGAATAAATGACTAAATATAAATTTCTTAAAATATGAAAAGGGTCCTAATAATTATAGCAACCTTAGGTATACACTAGATGTTTGATTTTTTTATTGACTAAATCAAAAGTTCACAATTATTGAAGTTATATTATTTTCAGATCCCAAGTAAGCCTAAAGTTCTTTATAAATAAAGATCTGTTTCATAAGTCTCAAATACAAATTTAAGAAATTAAAGAAAAATAACACACTCAAATAAAAGATGGACTTTTATATACTGGACACTTCAAACATGAATAACTGACAGGTCAGGTAAGTAATCCTACTGGCATGTATGTCAGCTTTGTACGTTGTGTGGGGGTAGTCTTACAAAACTTGATATTCCCTCACAGAACTTCACAAATGATGCTAAATATATGCTGATTATTATAAGCAGAAGAACCAATGATGAGCCTTATAGATTTTAAGCCCCAGATACCGAACCCTAGACATTCAAGTCTAATACAGAGCCAAGCTTCTTATTCTTACCTACATAGACATCCAAGCTGCTGGAATGAGTGTAGTAAACTGACTACGAAAATGATACGAACATTACAGTTAATTTATAACACCTTAAAACTATCTGGGCTACATACTCTTCCTGGGGTGGAAGAATCAGCAATATGTTAAGGTCTTCCCTATATAATTTATGCATTTAAAACATTTTTATTTCAAAGAACTAAAAATTCTTCATAAATATCAATAAGTAATTTCAATAATTACCTTGTTTTTCACTATATCTCAATGGGTATATAAATCCTACTGCTGTTCAGTGAGCAAGTAACACGATTCTTAAAAAAACTAGCAAATTAGAGATAGGCTGAGAATAAATATTTAAATTATTCAAGTCTCAGCCAGTTCTTCATCTATTATGCTCTCTCCCCAATTTTAATGAAGAAACCAAAGGACCATGTATGTTCATTTGGAACCAACTCAGAACACTTCTGCTAATTAATTTTCATCTTCTTCTCTCTAGCTTAAAGACACACTTCAGCACATCTGCTTATAACATTATAATAAATAATGTATTGAATAGCTGGGAAAGTTAATATATCAATGGCTATTTCACAGAGAAGTCGTGAACTATTTCTTAAATCAGATGATATTGTATTTTAAAGCCAAATCTACTAAAAGTGTGGCCAGACAAATAGTAGAGCATATCCTGTACTTTTCATCGAGTTATGGTAGTTACAGTATTCTAGTCAGTCTATATGTCTGATGGGCAGAGACTATTTGCTACTGTAATCCCTAATATCACACAGTGTCTGGCATATACTGAGACGTTCTGTATGTATTAACTGAGTAACAAGCTAATTAAATTGTTAATGAACTATCTCAGAAACAGATATGCCTTCAAAAATGACCTGAAGGAATGGAGGGATAATGACCTGACTTTTGATGCTTGAAAATTAAGTAAAACAAGTTGACTTACATTTTAAATAATCAAATGATTATGAATAAATAAATAGCATTAAATCTTTCTAAAAGATCAGAAAATCAATGCACAGTCACAGTATTTAAAAATATACAATCACAAAGCAAGTAGATTCCAGTACTATCAAAGACCCTGCAAACAGAAAACTCACTAACAACCACATTGAAAATGTACAACAGTAATGTCTTGTCAACACTTCTGTACAGAGCACAGACATGACAGCTAAAACAGACAGAAGAGAAGATGCTTTTGACAGCCAGTGTGTGTGAAGGATTCTTTGAGTCAGATGGCAGCAACAAGTTACCAACTAGGAGATCTGCATGACAACTAACCATCCATCTGTACCAAACACCATCTGGCCAAGATGACTCTGGCTTCTATGTACTTGACACTCCTTCTAATTCCAAAGACTAGTAAAACAAGTGGTCGATTAGAATTTTAGAAGTAAACAGGTATACAGATATGTCATAAAGGGTTGTGTATTCCTTCCTAGTGTTCAGCAGCAAAACAACATGATGGAGATCAAATGTGTAATAATATATGTCATCAATTTTTCAAAAAGGGTTATTCAAGTATCACTAATGTAGCAAAACCTCATCTTAAGAATTATTCTGATGCTGGAGAGCTGGCTCAGTAGTTACGAGCAAAGCTGCTTTTGCTGAGGAGTTGGGTAAGGTTCCTAGCATTCACATGGCAGTTCACAACCATCTGCATCATTAGTTTTGGGGAAATCCAATGCCCTCTTATGGTCTCCACAGGCATCAGGCATGCGTATGGTACATAGGCATATACTCAGGCAAAGCATCAATATACATGAAAAAACAAAACATTAAATAAGAAAGACTTGTTCTTTTATTAATGAAAAATTTCAGCCTGTCCTCTTCAAAACTAAGATATCATATTTCCAATCATTTTGGACATACAGCTGTTCAAGTTTTCATAAGTTTCATAAATATTAAGATAGAGTTCTGTTAATTGAATTTTCCCTACTGCAGACATTGGATGCTCTAACTTTTCATATTTCCCAAGACATTTACTTCCTATATTGGAAGAAAACTTTAAATGCCCTTAAGCCATCTGTAATTATTTTACATTGGTCAAATATGACTTCTCCTCATCTTCAAAAATTAAGCTCAATAGTCTGAAAAAGTACTATGACTTTCTTCTAATGATTTTTACTAGGGAATTAATATGAGTAGAGTGGATAAAACAGTCTCAATTAAAAAAGATTTTACATTGCTCTAAGATTAATAGATAGAAAAGCTTTATTGAAGGCTCTACTTGGATAAAAAAATCTCTCAACAGGGGATGCCACAGTTCATGAAGGAAAATGAAGATTACTTACACCAATATACAGCAGTTTAGACAAAAGCTAATACTTTATACACAATCTGTTTTTAAAATCTATCATACAACTTTAGTAAACAGTATGAATTTTACTCCTTTTTTTAGCATTCAAGATCATAGAGCTTGGCTTTCATGTAGCTCTTTTTTTCAACCATTTTTTGTGTACTATTTTAATAAACTCCCTATCCTATCACCCACTAGATAGTAGGACTTATCTAGGATATATTGAGTTAGACAGGTCAGATTATCAATTTGGCTATCTATAGCTAGTATTGTCATTCATTTCTCAGTATGGTAAGTGGTAAACTATGAAAAACTATTTTAAAGTTTCGGTTACAGAGTGGGGAGTGTTCCTACCAGGAGCTGGAAGTGCAGACCCTCCTGGCCACTTTGAATTTGATACCCTTAAGCCATCAAGCTAAGAAAGGACTAACAGTGTTAGGTAGGTGACTGATTCAGATGATCAAGGGGGAAATTGGATTGCTTCCCCACAATGGAAGTAAGAGAGATTATGTCTGGAGTGTAGGAGATCCTTTAGGGTGTCTTTTGGTGCTACCCATGTCTGTGATGAAAGTCAATGGGAATCTACAACAGCCCCTTTGGGAATGAAAGTATAGGTCACTCCTTCAGGAAAAGAGCCAAGACTTGCTGAAGTGTTTGCCAAGGATGGAGGAAATACAGAATGGGTAGTAGAGGAGGAGAGGAACATAGTTATAAATAGCAGCTAAGGCCATGTGACCAGTTGTAGAATGAGGATTATAGTTGAAATGAGTGGCTCTGTCATATTTTTACAAAGAATGCATTTGTACAGATATTTGTTTCTTTTACTCAGTTTTTCAATTATGTTATTGTTACATCAATTAAGAGAATTTCAATGGCTATCATATTTAAGTTTGAGATACTAAAAGAATGTCCCTCAAGGGACATTGCCACCTATTCTAAATGTATAATGTATTTGTGGTTCTATGAGGGACAGTTATATCATGTTAGGTATAATTATGACATGGTTATTGTTTTTTTCATTTGGGAATTAATCATGACATAAGGAGATACAATTGTATGTCAAGCTGACAAGTAGGCTTGTGATAGCTATTCTGAGTTGTCAACTTGACTGCATCTATAAGTAACTAAACACAGAAATGGAAGGGCACATCTATGAGTGATCGGTGCTTAATTCACAGTGGGAAGATTCACTTTTAGGTGGGAAGACACACCTTCAATCCAGTCAGTTCTTTGGGTGGGAAGATCCACTTCTAACTCTGGGCCACACCATTGCTGGAAGTCTATTTAAGGACATGAAAGAAGTGTTGCAATTTGCCTGCTTGCTCTCACCTCTCTAACAAGTCCATTCCATCACAGACATTAGAGTCTACTTCTTTGGGACGCCAGTGCACACTGAAAATTAGCCAAGACATCTAGCCTTGTGAACTGAACAACTACTGGATTCTTGGACATTCTGTTCATAGGCAGCCTTTGCTGGATTAGCTGGACCAAAGCCTGTAAGTCATTCTATGTATTTATTTTATAAGCTCTGCTATGCTAGAGAACAATGAATAATATATTTTATACAATCCAATTTTGCCCTCCATCCCACATGCACTAAGATCTTGGCTTCTATCAGAAATAAAAATAGGCCAGATATGGTGGTTGAGACTTTAACCCCAACTTGGGGAGGCAAATCTCTGTGAGTTCAAGATCAGTCTGGTCTATATAAAGAGTTCTGGGACAGCCAGGGCTACTTAGTGAGACCCCCATCTCAAAAATAAATAAGCAAATAAAAATAATTTTTACTGGAGTGATAGAAAGAAATGGCAAATATAAAATCCTGTTAAACATTAACCTCTTTTCAAGCAAAGTATCTCCATATTATTTAGAATTGTGGAAGCTGTACCACTAAAGTCTCCACTAGGGGAATGGGTTTGGGTCACTATACAGTGATCTGCAGGGGCAATGTTTTGTGGAGCTGTCAGGGTAGAGGATCCACTCAGACTCCAGACTGGTAAAGTGACCAGTGTGTAACTTTAGCCTGGGATAATCGAAGGTATGTCATCCAAACCAGAAGATCTGTAGACAGAAAAATGGTACAGGATTGCCTAGAGCCTTGAGGGTCCAACCTCCACCCTTGGGTGTCAGAAGAGAAATGGACTCAAAGATTCCCATGCCTCATGAGTTAGCCTTTGCACTGCTAGGGTTTTAGATTTAATCAGAACCTGTTATCCCTTTTCTTTACCATTGTTCCCTTTTAGAATGGGAATGTCTATCCTATACTTGCTTTATCATTGAACATTCTTAAATTTGTATTTAATGTATACAGTTGTTTTGCCTGCCATGCATTTCTGTGTATCTTGAGCACACAGTGTCATGAAGTGCCAGAAGAAGGCACTGGATCCTCTAGAACTGGGCAAACGGAAGGTGAGCTGCCATGTGGGTGCTGGGAGCTAACTGGAAGAACTTAGTTACTAACCCACATCTCCAGCTCCCTATCATCATTACATTTTTAAGTATATTGTAGGAGAAACTGCGTCCAGCCTTCCCAAGCTGCAGTCACCGTGTCCCTGGTGCCCAGGACAGCCCACATGTGTGCAGGTATTTCCTCCCTGAGCTGAACCGCCAAGCCCACCTCAATCCCCAGAGTTGCTGACAGAGAGTCACCTAACCCAGAGACACCAATAAGAAAAGGACATACAGCAGAGTCAGCTGCCTGAGCCATTTATGTTGAGGAAGTTAATGGGCCATGACAGGTTCTCTGAGGAATGGGATGAAGGCCTTTAAAAGGGCTTTAAACACAGTTCAGTTCGTCTGCCCTTCAGTAACTTCAGACAAGTGAGGACTTGTGTTTATCCCTCGTGGAGGATGCAATTAATAGGAGCTACCTTCAAAATGGTCACTGGGTCCTTACAAGATACTTAGAGATGTCTAAAAGTTTTGACAAGACATTTCTGAGGACTGAAATCTGGTAGGAAAATATGCAGATATTTTGAATTGTATGCAACAGAAAATTATTTTATGGCTCAGAACTGACAATGTCTATAGAAGAAGTAAGATTTAAAGCAGATACCATCAGCAGTAATTTTAATGCCAGTAGCTTCAATAGGAAAAACAGAATAAAATTTTTTATCTACTCTACATAGAGAATGTGTAGAGTGTTAAATAATAAGGTTATTTACATCTTAAGTGATCTTAAATGAAAATACTTTTTTGTTATAAAGCTTTCAGTGCTCTTAACTACATATATGCTTAACATTTAACAGAAGTAGTTTAAAATATGTTTTTATTTTATATTTGTGAATATTTCGACTTCATGTATGTATGTGTACCATAAGCATGTCTGGAACCTGCAGAGGCCAGAGAGGGTATCAGATCCCCTGAAATTGGAGCTATAGAAGCTGTAAGTTGCTATGTGGGTTCTGGGAACTGAACCTAGGCCCCCTGCAAGAGCAATAAATGTTCTTAACTCCTGAGCTGTCTCTTCAGTCCCTGTAATAGTACTTCTTATATTTAAATCCTGAAACAGGGTCTCTAGCCTAGGTTGTCATAAACCCACTATGTACCCAAGGATAACCTAGAACTGATCCCTGGTCTTTACCACCCGACAGCTGAGATCACAGGCATGCACCACCACACCTTGTTATGAAGTGCCAGGGACTGAACCCAGGACCTTGTGTACCTATGATAGAAAAACTATTCTACCACCTAAGCTACATCTCCAGCCCATGAAGGAATTCTGTAAAAAGTAGTACCCATAACAAAGTTCTTTTGTGCTCCAGATGAGTTAGCACTGGCCATTATGAAATACTGCTTATTGTTGTATATTAGTTACCAGAGAGCATTGCAGAGTCCCTGTGATAAAAAAGAAACATGGCCAAATTTAGTCTTATTTGTGGTCTTTAAGCTTCTTGCTTAACAAATTGGATGATTTTAAATATCACGCATCAGTTACTTTTCTTATCAGTATAAAGAAAAAACAACTTATAAAATAGTACCTGAACAATTTTTTTTAATTAAGAAGACTGTTTCCTTTCTATGGAAGCCTGTTAATTTTTCTTTAACCAACCCTGAGCAAGAATAGTCAACTTTTACTTCCCTTATTTCTTTTCAACAAAGAGATTTCTATCTTCTGATCATATAATGAAAAGAATCTTGGGACATGGAATAGAGGCTCACGGTAGAACATGTTCTATAAGTTAGTATTTATGATTTATAGATGGCAATCAACTTACAAAATTCAAATGTCTTGTTTTATTCCTGATACTTCTGGAAAGATGATCAAGAGAATTTACTAAAATCTTTCTTGAATATATTCAGTTTCTCACACAAAAACAGCAGAAATCAGTG